GAAACTAAAAATAAAACTGATTAGTCAAAATTTTGATTTGATTCTTTTTCACTCAACCTTTCCAGTATGTAGAGCTGTAAAGTTTGTAAAACCTCAGGGGTTTTAGGTAATTGTTGGTCCCCTTGTCATTACAAATTCACGTTTCTGTATCTTTTCTAGTTCTACTCGATTTAGCATCAGAACTACAGATTTCTACTAGGTTTAGCTAGCAGAAATATTCATAGGATTTTCTTTCTATTTTTCATCTTGGTGATGCCTAACATTTTGACGCTGTTTTGAGGTGCAGTGTCAAATTTTGGGTCAACATCATTTAAGGAAACATTTTTGGTAATTCTCAGGTATTTTTATGAGGAAATAACTAATAGCTCTGACAAATTTTTTTCTGATCCATAAAAAACTTATTACTACTTTTATGTCCATTTGCAAATAATGTAACTCTCCTAAAGACTTGGGTGTTTGGAAACTTGGAGGACTTTCTATCATCTGCAGACTTGGAAATTTTGCAGCGTACTTTCTGCTTAATTCATTACGGAGATTTTTTAATGAGACCAATTTTTATATTAAATCCTGAGGAATCCAACACACTGTATCTTTTCCTTCAAAGAAGCATTTCTCCCTACTGGACTTCTAAAATAGTTGACTATTTTTAAAGTACTGCAAGTCAGACCTCCTTATCATTTTACAAGTGTCTGAATCAAGTTCCAGCTCAAATTTGCCTCTTGTGAGAAGCTTTCCCAGGAGACCTGCCGTCTCTCCCCATCTATCTTCATCCTTTAGCACAGACCTAGTATGTATGTGCTATAGACATCATACTAGGTCTGTGCTAGGTGATCTGTTATTTCTAGTCTCCCTTCTTTACAGTTTTTCACAAACTGCTTATGGTGCACATATATCTTATTTATCTTTCTTTTTTAAGATTTTATTTATTTGACAAAGAGATACATAGCAAGAGAGGGAACACAAGCAGGGGGAGTGGGAGAGGGAGAAGCAGGCTTCCCGCTGAGCAGGGAGCCCAATGCAGGGCTTGATCCCAGGACTCTGGGATCATGACCTGAGTGGAAGGCAGACGCTTAACGACTGAGCCACCCAGGTGCCCCTATCTTATTTATCTTTAATTGTGGATGCCTTCAGGAAAGTACTTCTGCTGTCCCTACGTTGTACATGGTTGGAACTCACTAGACACTACATGGCTCAGGGATCACACGTCACACTGTATGCTAAAAACTCAAAGCAGTTTGTTCTTAGGGGTTGTTTGAGCAATCTGTTCAGCCCTCAGATTCTCATAGGGTACTTCATAAGTACACATTTTTCTTCAGTCACAAGCTACACTTTGGGGATATATTTTAAGTGCTACTCTTCCCATAAGGGTGTCCTAACTGGACCTTGCAAGGAATTTTATATCAAAGAAATGTGTATCTATGTTTTTCTTTCTGTATCTAGAGCTTCCTTCTGCTTATTGAATGTAACAATAGACTCTTCAAGGGAAAGGCAAAGCTTCACAAAACCATCTTTACTCTGGAAACAAAAAACCAAACCAAACCAAACCCTGCCAGTCAGCCCTTTATACAGCCTTTGGTGAAAATGTTGTCAAAGGCTATTATTTTTAAAAAGTGTGTGTTTGCCTTGCCTTTGAAATTCCATTCAGGATGTTACTAGAAGTAACAATCACCATTCTCCACTTTACCCCAGTGTGCTATCAATATCCTGTTCTCTTTTGGGAGATTTTCAGTTTTTGGGAAAAATCTACCCTTTTCCCTGTGTTATTTCATGTGGTACATGGGCACGTGGAAATTTTTTTTTTTTTCAAGCACATTGCCTGGTACCTAAGCGCTTAAGATTTAGTGAATAGATGCTGAGCACACATACTATTTTTTGAAAAAAAATAACTGGTTTGTCAATAATGTATCATTAAATAACATCTAGACTACTAGCATTGTTAATTTCTAACTAAGGTCTTAATTTTGACAGGGTTCTGTTCTTAAACTGATGATATTCTTGGATACCCTCTTCCCAAGAGGAAGTTGAACTTAACTGTATTGTGATAACTAGTACTTAATGGCTGTTGAGCAAACATCTCTTAAACCGATTCCTGTTCATCCACTGAGACCATGCTTAACACATTTCTTTCCTAAGGGGGTTTCTGAACTACACGTTCTTAGAAAAAGTCTTTTAATTTATATAGAAAAAGATATCTACATATCTTAGCTAGAGAGTACATTTTACAACTGTCCTTGGTTAATGTAAACACACTTTATTCCCTGGCACATTAAATGTTTGGATTTTTGTTGTTGTTGTTTTTCTCTTTCTGATTGGATGGTCCAGAAAATGCATTGTTTTATCACCTTTTAAATTATGTGATTATTAAATTTTTACATGATTTTCACAGTAACTCAATTTCTCGTAAGATTCTTATCCTGCTTTTGCTGGTTTTTATAAAGAGCAGTATGCTGCCTTCCTGTCCTCATCTTTTCTGTAAACTTTGCTTATTTTCATGACACTAGATCTCTAAATAGCTAATTGTAGTTAGGCTCTCTCTTGAGATCATTACCAAACCATTAACTTTATTCACTTTGTTTAGGAGGTCTTCAGGACTGGCACAGAAAGTTTTACATAATATGGCTTGATATTTTGATCTTTTCTTACTAATATTTGTCTTGTATTTATTCATTGAACATTTATTGTATGCCCATTGGATACAAAACACATTTTTAGTCTCTGGGAGGGAGATGAAAGCTGAATGCGAGGTGATCTGTGTTCTCAGGGAATTTAATACCTACTGAGAAAGTGTCTGTGGAAAAACCCAGTACACTAAATAACCGTACTTAGAAGCAGAATAAATAAGGATACTAAGAGAAGAGAGAGGGCGAGTATTTCCAAGAGGTTGCAGGGGACATGTGGAAGTTGAATTTTACTAGCCAGGACAGGCAGATAACCGAGTAGACAGAGGACTTGGCACGGAAGCCTGGAGCAGGTGTGTCGCAGGTGTAACAAACGGAGCAATGGTCCCCTCGGCGGAAGGGTGTGTCATGTGAAGGGGCGGAGCTGCGGCTAAGTCATAGTGCATTTGAGTTTGGGTATAGAGAGTATTCAAGGCCAAGTTAGAGATTTTGAACTTTTTGGTAAACAGCAAAGAAAAAGGAATGGTATTCCAGGAATGATACTCAGAGACATGAACTTTATTACTAATTAAAATAACTACCAATTGGGGTGCCTGGGTGGCTCAGTTGGTTAAGCGACTGCCTTCCGCTCAGGTCAGGAACCTGGAGTCCCAGGATTGAGTCCCGCATCGGGCTCCCTGCTCAGCGGGGAGTCAGCTTCTCCCTCTGCCCCTCCCCCCTCTCATGTGCTCTCTCTCACATTCTCTCTCTCAAATAAATAAATAAAATCTTTAAAAAAATAAAATAACTACCAATTATTGCGTGCCTAATCTGCATCAGCCATTAAACTAGGCGTTTTACGTCTAACCTGAACAATAAATAATGCTGAAAAGATGAGTGATATTATTCCCATGTTACAGATGGAGAATTTGAAACTTCAAGAGGGAGATTAACCTGCAATGTTGCAAAACATGGATTGCAGGGGGTTGGGACTGAAATTCAAATCATTTAGCAGGGGATCGCTCAATATAGTTGACTGAACATATGCTTTTGTCCCTTCCTCTCATTCCAGTGTCCTAAAATTGACCAAAAAAAATCTATTTTTAAAAATTCACAGTCACGCTGGCAAACTTGATCACAAACTATGAGGAATACTTGAAAAGTAAAAGGCAGGAGCGATTCACAAGAAAACCATGGCCTCAGATGCTTATTGGAAAGGGCTGTTGTGATAGGTGGGAGTTCAGGTAGTGACCCAAATCTGGAGGTGTGGATCCCAGTACTAAGGAAGGGCCATGAAGTAATTTCCACAATAGCTGATGAAGGTGTTCCTGTAGGAGGAGCCAGGGGTCCACACCTCTGGCTGTCACCCTCTGGGTCAGACAGTAATAGCTGTCTCCACACCAGGAGGGGGCCCTTGGGTCAGAGAGAGCAGGAAGTACCCTAGAAGCATGGCCACCCCCAGGAGTAACAGGAAGTATTCTATCCAGAGTTACCATAGGCACATCCCATCAATTAAACCATCAAATAGCGTAGCTAGCTCCCCCCTCCATAGTCAATAGGTGTAAACATGAAATATTCACAGAGTCTAATAAGGAATCTCAAATAAAAAGAGGTCTATAGGCAAAAATTAGCAAACATTTGATGGGAACAAACTCCATTTAAAAAAATACCAAATTCAGCAAACAAGGGAATTTTCTTTGAGTACCTACTACATTTTTTTTTCTATACCTGTCTTCTGGTATTTATCCCAATTTTCCCAATTTTCTACCCAAACACAATTGACTGTTCCTATGAACGCACACACTTCTTCGTATTTCTTGCATTGAGTCTATGACTCTATCTCCCTAATATCCATTGTTGTTAATTTTCATTTATGCCATTTTCATTTATATATATTTATAAATATTCATTTATATCTGAATGTTGATACTTATGTACAATTATATGCAGACTTATATAATGTCCCACGTAAATCAGACACTGATAAAGTTGAAAACTAACTCTGAGAAGTTTCAGAACATTAAGACTCAAATTTATTCTTACTTTTGAAAACACTAAGAGCAGCAAATTGTTGAGTTTTCTAAAATTCTAACTTTAGAAGGCCATGGTAAGGCAGTATATTTTAGTACGTGTTACAACTTAAGCATATTTTCCAAGGGATTTTACACATATACTTGTGAAAACTAAATATTTCCAGTGACTAATCTTGTTTTAATTAACACCAAAGAAAATAATAGTGGTTGACACGACAAACTATTTTCAGGTTTTCTTTTTTTAACTGGGGGTAGTTGCCATTTAGAAGGCTATGAGAAGAGCAGGGTACATTCATCATCTGGCGCCACCTTTTTCTGTTAGGAGTGAAACTGACTAGTTAGTCAAACATGAAATATCTGTAATACTCACATTTTGTAGCCATCAGCTTTTCAAAAGACTGGCCCCATTGTAATACTTCCTCCAAAGTAATGCTTTGAAAAGAAACAAAAGGTGCTCATTGCACCAAAGTATTCTCAAGGTTTTGCTGAACATAGAAATATATGATCTTGGGGCGCCTGAGTGGCTCAGTTGGTTAAGCGTCTGCCGTCGGATCTGGTCATGATCTCAGGGTCCTGGGATTGGGTCCCGAATCAGGCTCCCTCTCCCTCTGCCCCTTCTGCTCATGCTCTCTCCCTTTCTGTCTCAAATGAATAAATAAAATCTTAAAAAAAGGAAATATATGATCTTGAAAATAACACCAAAATATAGTTGTACTCTATTTGTGTGTGGTTTTGTGGAAATTTATCTTTCTGTGATGTTCTACATTTTATTTTTACTTTCTAAATTGTTAAAATTAAACAAAAATTGTGAAAGTGTAAACTTGAAAATATGATAAAATAAATTTTTAAGAGATAAAGATCCATAGTCCTGTAGTTTCCCTATTCCCAAATTACTACTATTAATATTTTGATGTACTTTTCAGTGTTTTTGCTATTTATGTGTTTGTGTCATTTTAACTAAGAAGTAGCCAAACTCTGAATGTGTTTGTGTGCATGCATACTTTGTGTGTGTATATACATATATATGTATATATCCACTTTTTAAAAAAAGATTTTATTTATTTATTTGACAGCGAGAGAGGGAACACAAGCAGGGGGAGTGGGAGAGGGAGAAGCAGGCTCCCCTCTGAGCAAGGAGCCCAATGCCGATGCGGGGCTCGATCCCAGGACCCTGGGATCATGACCTGAGCCGAAGGCAGATGCTTAATGACTGAGCCACCCAGGCGCCCACATATATATTCACTTTTAATAAGATTTTTATATGTCATCACAATTGTCTTAAAATCCATTTATAGTGTTATGACTTCTAATTATAAAACTATAATCTTTGATAGTCACTGTGGAGTGTTCTACGAGGGGGCATTCTTTTTTTTTCCCCCCAAGATTTACTTATTTATTTATTTGAGAGACTGAAGAGAACTCGGACTGGGGAAGGACAGAGGGAGAGAATCCTCAAGCAGTTTCCTGCCAAGCACAGAGCACAACGTGGGGCTCGATCTCCTGACCCTAAGATCATGACCTGGGCTGAAATCAAGAGTTGGCCGCTTAACCAACCGAGCCACCCAGGTGTCCCTTTAAGGGGTCATTCTATAGTTTACATAATTATTCTCAATGAGCATCTTGATTATTTCTCATTTTTTAACATAAAAACTTGTGATTAAGTCTTGCTATGTTCACATAGGGTAATTGCTTACGGGCAGGATTAGTAGAAGTAGAATTAAAGTGGGTCAAGAAATGCAAATTTTTAAGGTTCTTGGTATAAACTGCCAAACTGCATTTGGGTTTGCATCATGTGCTGCTGGTGCCAGTAATGTGTTTGCCCATTTAACTATTCACATCTTAGAGTTTATCCACAAAGTCTATTTGCATGCCTTCATATAATAAAGTTAGTAACCTTGTACCTATTATATGCAGATATTTTCTCTATTATTTGCTATAACTTTCTTTACATGCTCAGGGTTTGAATTTTTATTACAGTGAATGATATGTGAATAAACGTATAAAAACCCTTTACCATTTCAAAAATATCTGTGAAAGATACTGGGTTTGAGGCTTCATTTCTGTTCATCTTTCATGGCTTTGTGAGGTAAATTGGCAAGTGACTATGGATTCTTACATGTAAACCATTTTGTTTTCTCTCCTTTAAAATACTCAGTGTGTTCATTGGCATCCAGTTTATGATTGTTCCAGTTTACGATTGGTTCACACTTCATTTTCCTGTCTTCAATGACATCAAATAATCAGCTAACTACAAATACAAGCAAGCCCTGTCCATTGGCTACACCTGGTGTAGGTAGCTCCGTAACTGGTGTTGAGGGAACAGCCATCAGCATTAGGAGGCACTTAACACAATGAAGGAAGATTAGTCAAAGAGGTTAAAAAATGATCTAGAACATGGAAAAATATCGGGAGTCTTAACAAGCTCAAATATCTTTTGTTTTCTATAAATTCGGATGGCCCTTGCCAGTTTTAGGCGGACTATGCGCATCAGTACTGAGGCTTAACAGTATACTGCCGTTAAGATTGCTTTCAAAAAACATTTCCATGAAATGCTATCTGACTCACTGTTCTTTTCTCTTATTAGAACTTTAAAAATAGTAACCTAAGGTAACCTTTTCCATCCAGTGAAACGGTAAGTGTTAGGCAAGATATGTGGCATGCCTCTCTGTTCTATGTGTTCCTGTTATATAGGAAAAAATAAAATCTACAACATGAGTGAAGATGCCATCATTGCCTTGGCTTAGCTTAAAATAAAGTGTTGGTACTTTGTTGGTGAGAGAATTCTTTCTCTAAGATTCATGAGATTTATGGAGATAGATAATGATCAGAGTGATTATGGTCGGGGTTAAAGTTGTGAAATGAAAATTGGTTTCGGCTTAACCCCATTTTGCTTGTAATTTTTTGTGAGTATCTCAAGTTTCATGCTGTTCCATGGCTATTCAGGTGGGAGTAATTCTAAACATCCCCGTCCCCTCATCCACCTGGATTTCCTAATAAAAGCAGCGGATACAAAACAAGGGAGCATTCTGGGACCTCATGTCATTGTGGAGACGGGAATGAAGAGTGCTTGGAGTCTTAGAGTCCTGAGTTCTAATTCCAGTGCTGCATTTAATAGCTTTTGGTTTTGCCTAAAATCTTTGAGCCCCAGTTTTATTATCTATAAAATGGGGTTAATACCTATCTCTCAACATTACCTTGAAAATTAGAGAAGGTCATGAATGGAAAGCATCTATCAAACGACTATTATCTACCAGCTTGCCATGACTGTGAATTCTCTTTCCTTGGCCTCCCCCTTCCCTGATGGTGGGTCTACAAGGCAAGTAGAAAGAAATGTGAGCCCTGGTGGTGAGACTCCATGGGAGTCATCAGCGGAAGAGATGGAAGCTATTCCCAAACTAGCCTATTTTTTCTCCCTCCCTACACGAGCCCGTTCAGCACAGCAGCTTCACCTGATTGTTTAAAATGCTGAACTTTGGCTCTTCTTGTCTCTTCCACCTACCACTGCAGCCTCCTCCCCACCTCACACAAATGCTTGTAAGTATTTTTGGACCTTTAGGTACTACGGGGCAGGAGCAACATGCCAGGAGCTCTGACCATAGCAAGGGAGGTGTGGCCAGGACTGAGCACTCCACATGGACTTGGTTAGGCACTGTGGTTAAACTAACACACAGCGATCCTCAGTGTGGGAATCCTTGAGGTGGACAATCCAATCAAATGATTTGTTACCCTTCTCCAGCATTATTCGTTCCATTTTAGCAGTCACTCTTCCCATCCAAATGGCTACATGTATAGTTTGGCAAAATATCCAGGAGACTTGGGAAATTGGTAAGCATCTGGTTACCCCACCAGTCTCCCTTCTTCCAGCTAGACATGAGGTTTCTGGCACTTTGTAGGTGGAGGGTTAGAATCATGAAAATATTTTGGATAAAGAATCTCATTTTAACATAAACAATATAAAACTTAAAAAAAATCTAAGAGTATTTATTCATAATAGATGCTGTATAAACATTAAGCTTGCTTAATTCTCAAGTGTAAACCATAAATAATGAAAATGAAACCTTAGCGTAATACATGATTGCTCTTCTGGTGGAATTACTCATGTGTAAATGCAAATTTGCTCTCTGAACAAAATATATTAAATTAGCCGTTGAATAAATGTATACCTATTTATCATGTGATAAATATGCATTAGAATGGCCATGTAATTTAAATGGTACTTACTTTGAAGGAAGTCTCTTAGATTCATCTCTGCACATCTTGCAAATCCAACAATTCCGTCTGCTCATTTTTCTAAGGCAATACAGAATATACTTAGTATAATTTAGTCATTTCAAATAATTATATGCTACAGTCAGTGTCTCAGGAACACACAAAGTTGTAAATCATGAAAAAATAACGACGAGTTTTTGAAATTAATGGGATACAATCACTGGTGGGGGTGGGGAGGAGAGAGGAGAATAAAATAACTCATCTCGTAAATATTTTTTAGAAATATAGGTACTTAAGAGTTGCGACTTTAGGGCGCCTGGGTGGCTCAGTTGGTTAAGCGACTGCCTTCGGCTCAGGTCATGATCCTGGAGTCCCGGGATCGAGTCCCGCATTGGGCTCCCTGCTCAGCGGGGAGTCTGCTTCTCCCTCTGACCCTCTTCCCTCTCGTGCTCTCTGTCTCTCATTCTCTCTCTCTCAAATAAATAAATAAAATCTTTAAAAAAAAAAAAGAGTTGTGACTTTAGAACCCATCTGGGCCATTTACTCATCCTAATGGTGTTTAAAACAATATAGCTTACTGAGAAAAATCTTCCCATTTAGGGCCCACCGACAATGAATTCAACTCCCAAGTCTTCCCTTTCTTGGGTAATTCTTAGTTTTAGAAAGATCTTTCAATATATTGAGCAAGAATTTGCTTCTTTGTAATTAGCCAAAATAGTGTAAATAGCTAAATAAAAAATAAGATTCCTTGAGGGTGAATTCTGAGAAGGGGATTGCTTACCTGGTTTTCTACACTCCTGGCAGTATAACATTGGCTTTAAAATTCAGGTACAGTTTACTCAGCCCAGGCTTTATATAACAGTGTATGTCATAGAGGGTTTTAAGCTCAGGACATTGAGAAAACAACTCAAAAATTTAAGAATAATTAAATCTGCAATTTATAATGAGAGCTGGAAATGTTTTGCTAAACATATGCACACTTACACAAAATGAATTATTAAGGATAACAGTAAGTTTTTATATCAAGTCTTTAGTGATTCATTTGAAACATCTGTTGAACACTAGTTATGTGCCAAGTTCTGGCTGCCAGTGATCTATGCAGATCCTGTCTTTTCCTCTTCCAATCCTCACTAGCAAGCAGTTGAAGTCCATGTGACAGGGACTTTGAGACAGGAAGTCCAGTGGGCCGTGAGTACACACAGGAGGAGAACCTACACAGACGTGGGGGTGGTTAGACACGGCATCCCAGTATAGCAATAGTTGAGCTGGAACCCGCAGGATGTGCAGGAATGTGCTGAGTGAAAGGGACAGGGCAGCTTGGGCAATGGGTCATGTCCTAATTGAGGAAATGAAAGGAATGTGGTCATCTCATGAATCTAGATTATGGCAAGGAGAGAGCTGGGAGCACAGGCTAGAGAGTTAAGATTGGACCAATAATCATGTTCGGAAATGCTCGTTGCAGCAAGAAAGCGATGAGAGACGAAGTTGGAAGACATGCAGAAGCTGAGCACGTTAGGTTATATACACCGTGAATTTCATAGTAAGGAGTTGGAAAATCATTGAGGGTTTTAATATATGGACTAGACATGCTAATATTTGAGATGGGTTTTGTGAGCAGAATTGATTGTCATGCAAGGGTGGAACCCGGAAGACTGGAGATTGCCTACAGGAGGGCAAGTGAGGGTGTTGCAGCCTTAGATTAGGAAGGTAGCAGGAGAGATGGAGGGAAGGGGGCAGATTTTAGATGTGGTGGAGAACTTGATGTACTGGATGTGGAAGGTGAGAGAAAGAAAGGAAACAAGTTCGGATGAAAGATTTGACCTCAAGATAAAGTGGCAGTTTTTACAAAGCACATAAAAGAAACCAAAAGAAAAGATAAGATGACCTAGGAAGAACGTATGAACTGAGAAAAGCAGACGGCCCAAGACAGATGACTCAGAGACACACTGAGAAAGTGAAGCCTGCGGGAAGACAATCAGAGTAATATGGTATCACAGAAACCAAGGGATGAGCTACCGAAAAGCAGAGACTAGTCAACTGAGTGCAAGAGCTGGGAAACGACGAAGTGAACAAAGGAGGGGGGCGCCTGGGTGGCTCAGTTGGTTAAGCAGCCTACTCTTTTTTTTTTCTTTTTAAGATTTTATTTATTTATTTGACACAGAGCACAAGTAGGCAGAGCAGCAGGCAGAGGGAGAGGGAGAAGCAGGCTCTCCGCTGAGCGGGGAGCCGGATGCGGGGATCGATCCGCGGATCTCAGGATCATGACCTGAGCCGAAGGCAGCCGCTTCACCGACCGAGCCACCCAGGCGCCCCGAAGCATCCTGCTCTTGATTTCCACTCAGGTCATGATCTCAGGGTCATGGGATCGAGCCCTGCCATGCTGGGCATGAGGCCTGCTTCAGATTCTCTCTCTCCCCCTCTCCCTTTGCCCCCCCCACACCCTAATGCCCACTCCATGCACATGTGCACACTCTCTCACAAAAAAAAAAGAGAGAGAGAGAGAGAACAAAGGATTGAAAAATATCCATCAGATTTGCTAACAAGAAGGTTATCAACAGCCTTGGTGAGAGGGGTTTTGGCGAAACAGGGAGGGCAGAAGCAGGAGAGAAGAAAACAAGAGGAAATGGAGACCGGAACAAATGTGGGGCTACTTGCACTTTCTTCCCTCCCTCTCTCCCTTCTTTCTTTCCCTTCCGATAAAAGCCATGGACCAAACAGTATAACAGAGACAGAGAGGCAGGACTCTGCTGTCTGGCCGTTCGGGCCTGCACATCTCTAAGAGTCTGGTTCAGAAAGTCTATGGTGTGAGTGACCTGCCCTGAAATTGGCAAATGGTGTCCATGGAAAGAAGTTGCTGATGTAGGAGAAAGGAGGAAAATCAATAGATTTTCAGGTTTCTGAAAAAAAAATGTTTTTTTTAAAAGGAACTAGAATTCGGATTGTGGGAGATAGAACATTGGAGAAGTGGAAATAGAGGAAGAAATTGTTGTTTTCTTGTAATTGGAATGGGTGTAGATCTAAGTTTATTTGCAGGTTTGGGGATAAGAATTTATGGGTGTTGTGGCCTGATGGACTTCATTTTCTATATGGGTCTCCGCCGTAAGGAGGAGCAAGGGACAAGGTAGCTAAGTTTATCTACAGGAAAAAAACAAAGTTAGGACTCTTGTGATTGCAAATATAGATTCAAAGAATTTAAGCAAAAGAGAGAGTTATTATGAGGATAACTGTGCAATTAGATTCTGGATGGCCTTGAACGTTGGGCTCTATTCTGTTGTAGTAATAATTCACTGAGGTCTTTAAATAATAGTGTGGAGTAAATAAGATGTTTTGTTAGAAAGATAAATCTGACCAAAGATAATTAACACTGAAATAATTGAGGCTAAGAAATCTCTTACATTGACTGGCTGTTCATAACTGATCCTGTGCATAATTGGATCCTGAATTAAATTTTAAGATTCTTTATCTCCGTAATCACCTCTAAGATGCAGATTACCCAATGGCTCCCTGCTTCTCTTCTAAGTAGGAGGCTGGTTAAGAAGTTCTTTCTGTCAAGTGTCCATATAACTAGCCATCCCTGTTTTCCTCTGGGTCTTGACTTCTCCCCTCCATACTATATTTAACTATTTTATTATCAAATATATTTTAACTATATTTGACTATTTTTTATATGTCATTGTCTGCTCACTTGATGTATTAGAGCTATGTGCACACATTGGTGATTTCTGTAACTAAAATTCATGTCTATTTACAAGTTATCATATATTTTTAAGAACTGTGTTGGAATTGTTTAGCAAAGGTAGAACAGGCTTAGTATGCAACACCCACAGTGTCAGAAGCATGACAAAGGTAATTTCCAAATGCACTAGAGTTTAGGGGGTTCCCACAGCTCTTGGCAGACGATCGAGTATATTAAAATAATTCTAGGCTCTGAAGGCAAACAAACAAGGGTGTGAGTTCAGGGTCTTATTAGCTGTGTAACCTTGGGCATAGTAAGTCAACTCCTCGATTCTCAATTTCTTTGTTTCTAAAATGGAATTGTAAATATTAGAAAAATGCTTGTATGCAAAAACTTTCTGTTCCAGTTAATCTGATCTTCCTTCAGCTTCTTGCACTCTGTCACTCAGGAAATATTTCCTACACTCTCTTTTATGTACAGGAAACACACATTCTGCCAGCCTGCATTCCTTCCTCTTTTTAAATCTTAACTCAGACCTCATAAATCTTCCAATTAACCTTATCCATTCTTCAGTGTGTTAGCACACTCCCTTGCAAATCTTACTTTTCTTTTGTACTGTGTTCCTATATTTCTGTTGTTCACATATTATATTAGTAGCTAGGGTTCCAGATTTAGAAGTAGCTGGGTCTCCTATAGCAGGTCAGACACTTTTGGGTACGTGTATCATATTGAAGGGACAAGGCTGCCAGGAAGGATTTGTTTGGCCAGAAGAGCTCTGAGAGGACCGTCTAGCCAGAGCTACCCCTTACAATGATGCAGGTTGTCTCCTCTACAGACACACCTGGTCTGGAGGAGAGCAGAGGCTTAGATCCACCCACAGTCCCCTTGTCAAGCTATGGGCCTCCAAGTGGGGCATCATCCATATGATGGAAAGGCCATCTTTTAAAATTCCAGCAAATGTTCTGTATAGACTAGTAGTAGCCCTGGTTCAGCTACATGACTGATTTAGAGAGAGGTTCTCTGCCCCAAGTAGCTCATTAGTTGGGTGACATTGGAAAAGAGAGTAATATAAATATAAATGTATGAAAATAATGTTATTTATATTTCTGACTTCTATAATCCTAATAGACTATAAATTCTCTGAAGTGATATGTTCAAATGCTATTTGATAATCATGTGTAAGTATTTGTTTATATATTGTCTAGTATTCTAAGTCAAACATTCACAAATTGATTAAGTTGTAGAATAGCAATAGATTATAATGACATAAGAGCATCCACAATGAAATAAAGTATTTAGTGACAGAATTATGTAAAAGTAAAAGATGTATTATGCATAAAATAGATCACAAAGCAGTCTTGTTTTACAAAGTTCTTTGGTTTTCTAGTCCATTAAGCAATGGAATTTTTTGGGGTGCTGTCCCGATGCTGGAGTTCTGTTCCATGTCCCTGCCCACCCACTGGAGCCCTATTGTCCATCTTCTAAGCTTTCAGAAATCAAATGTTCACTGCACCTCCCTCTTCTGATTACTCCTGGATTCACTATCACTCTATACCACTCCTTTGCTAAAATACCACAGAACATTCTCCAGGTCTTCATAATCCCTTCTACATTGAAAGCAAGAGATAAATTCACAAACATTTAACTCAGCTTCTGATAATAGAACAGATTGGCCCCCTTGAGCTTATTACTTCTTCTAGCCAAAACACTACTTAAAATTATAGTTAAGGCTTAAACATGAAGAAAAAAAGGAGATTAAACAAGGAGACAAAAACCAACAAAATCTTTTAAACTAATTTTGGAAGATGGAAAGTAGATGAAGGAATAGAAATTAAAATTCTCATACCTCTAAAATGAGAAGAGAAAAGATAGTCTTTGGAATTTTATCTGGCAAAATGAAAAAAAGAATCACTCTGAGGACAAAAAATTTCCAAAAATAACTAGTGATTTAAAAAGAAATATCTGCAATCTTGCATTCAACAGTATATATCATTAAGTAATAGATCTGCATCTAAATACCAAGATTTAGAGTGGTGGAGTGAAATCTTTTCACTTTTATAATTGAGAACTTTTAAGAAATACTTTTGGTAATTCCAAAAAAAGTAAACTAATAAATTTACTTGGAATTAGAGCATACATGGTCATTTACTGGTAAAAATAAAAATTAGCCTAAAATATTCCATAGAATTCAAATTCTATTTTGGCAAAAAGAGAGTTCTCTGTGAAAGAATGACCTAGATGGATATGATTTAGAATTGATTTAAATTGGAGAAACTCACCAAGTTTCAATAACAATCATTTTTTTTCTCATGTTAGTGGTATGATTATGGAAAAATTCCATTGACCTAAAAAGAAAATAATAACAAAACCAAAATGATTATTGTGTACTTCCCAGAGAATGCATATTTGGCAAAATATTTCTATAAATACCTTGTCTTACATTTTAAGTAAATAATTTTTCTACTTCGTAAGTGTTAGATTATGGTTATCCTTATTTTTGATTTAACTCCTTATCTAGAATTTTAATTTCATAGATTGATATTGTAAAAATTCCTATACTTTTTATTTGTATTTTTCCATTGATTTTTCTTTAAATGTTTTTTGTTTACCTTATATTAACATTATGCTTTAATTTGCCTGTTTTTTAAATTTTTCCATATCCTTTTGCTAAAACTAGTGTGCATTTTTACACTCTAAGAGTAGAGTATTTAGAACAGTTAGGTCTCCAAAATGATTTTGCCTCCAATGTTTTCTCTTGATTATTTTAAAGAAAGCATACATTTTATCTATACAATCTAATTCTTAGAGCGGTTATAAATGCTTTAGTGATGAATTGAGTTTGTTATATGTTGTGCCAGAATAGATCCAAATTTTCTCTAGCATTTAAGTGAAATCTTTCTCAAAGTAATATGAAAATAAATGAATTCTCTTAAATTTTACCTTCCCACATATTTAAATGTTTTTATTATCCTGACAGTTGATGAATTCATTCCATTCAATATAATATCTGCATTTAAATGTGTTTCTTATGACATAGAATGTCACATAAAATTTAGAAAAACCTAGAGCAATTTACATTTTAGTGAGGTTTTGTTTGCCATAGCGCGTACAATTCTTGCCTTTTAAAAAGCAAGTAATTTGTGGGTAGTTGTGCTTAGGCATAATATTAAGGAATGAAGAAATTCCATAAAATCAAAATTATGCTTCATGTAAATCTTGCAACAATTCATAACTGGAATCAGTACAGCTAATCAAATGATGGAACTAATTATTTGATAATGCATGATTTTTGAAGCAAACAATTCTGAGATATGATTTTATAATATATCGTTATCTAAACATATACATCCATGTTCACACACACACACACACAAAAAAAAAACCATATAAAATGAAAGACCATACTCTAAATCTATAATATTTCCTTTACTGAACAATTTAGAAACTTCATTTATACATGTATGACTGTAAGTATTTTTTAAGTATAGAAAGCCTAGGCCAGGCAAACCTGTGTTTAGTAGTTTGTTTTCCTTAGAAGAAATCTAATATTTCTAGCAGTCCTGCTGTTAAAGTAAACATCCACTCGTCATTGATATCAAGCCAACACTGTATTCACCAACTATTTTATGGAATCTCATACTTACAAATATATCCTGTAGAACGGTCCACCATGCTAAATTTTATTTTCTATCTGTATGATCCTTTTGAAATCAGGTTCTGAAACGCCATGAGGCACCCAGCATTTTATTTTTCCTGGCACAAAATAACTTTACTCTCTTTATAATTACCTTTGATGGCACTCTGCCCTCTCTATGGATGTTCTGTTTTTACACATGTATCTATGCAAAGAGAGGTTTTGTTGAATATGGAAAATAGTGCTGTGGGACTCTAATGCATTGCTGATAAAGAGGTTTTATCTAACATTATCAGCCCATCTGAAGTGATCAGATGATTGGAAGCAGTAGTTCTATGAAATTTTCAAAGTAATATTCAAAATTTTTTCCAAAATGATCAATTTTTCTGGTTTTAGAAAAATTTTTCTAGTTTAGCTTAAAGTAAAATCTGCCTATTAAAAAAACAGAGAATTGAATATCAGTAAGTAAGCTAAGCCTGCAAGTACTTGTTATTAAATTATTGAGAACTATTAAAATCAATCTGTTTAGAATAGTCAAATTACTAAGGTCTTATAATAACTGAAGGGTCTAAAAAGGACTCTTTTCTAGTTAAACCTTTCTAGTTCCTTCAGCTGGTCCTCATAGGGTGCTTTCTGGACTCACCATTATTCTTCAGTTAATATACCTATTAAAATCTGAACTGAACACAGAGCTCCAGATGAAGATTAATGAACACGGAGTATGGTGAGATTGTTAATACACTTGTCCTATGTTTATTCTAACTGTGTGTGTGTGTGTGTGTGTGTGTGTGTGAGAGAGAGAGAGAGAGAGAGAGAGACAGACAGACAGACAGACAGACAGCAGACAGAGACAGAGAGACAGAGAGAGAAACAGAATGGTGGGGGTTGAGGAATGCTAAAATAAAACAGCAGGAAAGAGATCAGAATATGCTTGGTGGAGGATTTCTGAAAGTATTTAGGAGCCTAATAAGGTCGAAAGATTATTTTTACTTGTATTTCATGATTTTGAGGTCCAAACCCCTAGAAACTGAATCTATCAAATCTAGAGGCTAAGTTTGGGACTAGAAAAGGCAGACAAACTTCAGAAAGTCAGAAGCTAAGTAGATGTGGCAATGATGAAGGAAGTAAAGGGTGAGGTTTGGATTAACTTTGAAGGATCCAGGTTGGTTGTTTGCTGATAGCACTCATTTTCACTGGTTTCTAGTTCTCCAATTCCCTCCCTACCTCGGGACATTTGGGAGTCTCTCCGAGCGTTGCACTTGAGATGCAGGGATGTTTCCTATTTCTCTTGGTTTGGGTGCAAGGAGCCGGTGGGAAGATTCTGAAAGTAATACCTTGTAAGAGCACCAGTGGAAAGCTTGCTGAACAGAATAAAACATGAGCATCTTCTTGCAGAGTGAAAATTGGGTATCAACAGGGCTGACTGAGTAGCAAAAAGGCCATGGAGTGAAGAGTAACAGAATGGCTAGGTAAAAGGCAGTCCAGGAAAAATTCCAGAACAAGATGCTTGTGGCAGATATCTAAGCATTTTTAGTTTCTCTGGAAAAAGGTAGGCAAGGAATTAATGGGGTCAGAGCAATGTAATCCTCAGAACATAGGTGGACCCGATAGATTCAGGGATGTCAGGTAAGAGCAGGTAGCAGCATCATTGAGCTTTCACCGGTGCAGGGTGGGAAAGCTCTTTCCTTTAAAAGGTGGTCTTTGATTAACTGTGATCTATTTACTCCTGTGTGCTTTTACTTTATTTCTGTTTCAGCCCAACTAAGACCGAAGTAACACAAGTTCAAATGTGCATAGTTAAAGAATAGTTACTATTTTTGTTTGGTTAAAATTCAAAATGAACTTTTTTGGGGGGCAGTCTTCTTTTTTTAATTATGTCCAATTAGCCAACATATAATACATAATTAGGTTTTTATTTTATTTATTTATTTGAGAGAGAGAGAAGGAAGGGGCAGAGGGAGAGGGAGAAGCAGACTCCCTGCTGAGCAGGAAGCCCAATGAGGGGCTTGATCCCAGGACCCCGGGATCATGACCTGAGCTGAAGGCAGACGCTTAACCCACTGAGCCACGCAGATACCCCTCAGAATGAACTTTTTTGCACAAATAGAAGAACGAAATGTTAGACATTGGTTATTGTCGGTAGTGGTGATTTAAGAAATAAGCTATTTACAGTGCATCGTATTAGGTTATATAGTTGTTGCCATTTGTTCACAGTATCCTATGAACTTTTTAATATATTCTATATATTTTAATATATAGTACTTAAAATACATAATTAATATATACCACTTTAATGTCATAATAAAATAGTTAATCTATATAATATGTAATACTTCTAAATATATTCTAGAAGCAAAATAAATCACTGGTGAATTCACTTATAGACACTGGTGAGTTCTTCAGTGAAATGTAGCCAATAGGCAGCAGTTTGTACCAATGTTTTCATTCCCACATAGGAGAGATTTTCTGATGTGTTCATGAATATAATCACTTGCATTGAGACCAATAGTTATTACATTAACTGTGGAATTGTTACTACATTAACTGTTATGGAGAGTTTTCTATTTAGATGGAAGCACAAACTTTATAGTTTTATTTTCTACCCACTTGCAGAAGTGTATTTCTTTTTCAAACCAGATTTTATCATGATATTCAGCAACTATTTCTGGTTATGTACATCTGATACTTAAGTGAACCAATTTAGAATATATTTTTGTATCCTTTAAATAAACTGAAAATTAGTTAGATAACAAATTATGAAAACATTTACTATGGTACTTAAGACCTAAGCACTGTATGAAAATGCTAGTTCCTGCTTACTAATTTAAGAAGAGAAAACACAAAGAAAGATATCCTGGAACAATCTGTTGAAGACCATATGCAATGTGAGTATGTCAGATATTGCCTCCTCAGTCTTTAACAGAGGTTTTTTAAAAAAGTAATTATTTTAGCTCTACATTCCTTAAAGAATTTTTAAAAAATATTTTATTTAAGTTTTTATTTACAGTGGTATAGAGTCTTTAGTAAAAACTTAAAAAAACATTTGAGTTCTGTAGAGTGTTGATTTGTAGACAGTACCTTGCTCTAAGAAACCACTCAAAGTACTAGTTTTGTGGGTTTTTTTTTCTTTTTTCTTTTTTTAACCAGACTCTTCATTTTATCACCAAGTAAGAGATATCACCCTTCTCCTGGAGTGAGCAGATATGCACGATCTGTCTCTTGTGAGGGCCCAAT